GAAAAAGGGATGCTTAAGTGCCTCTGCAGCAGTCGGCCTCTTGGCAGGATCCTAAGAAAGAAGGGAAGTAATAAGCTGAATTGCAGACTCACTGGCAGATGGGATGCAAAATGAGAGACCAAACCCAGAAAACTGTGGAAACTGATACTCAACCGGCCCTGCAAGAAGTTGCCCTTCAGGCCATGACTTCATGGTTGGGCTGCCTAGCACACTACAAATCCAAAACAGCTGCTCCTCCGCATTGTTACCCGTAAGTAGAGGGCGGAGGTTGAACATCTCAGCCAAGATTACACCCACAGCCCACATATCAACCTTGGAATCGTAGAAGGGTGAGCCCAGCAACACCTCCGGGGCTCTGTACCAGCGAGTTGTGACATAATCTTTGAAAGGAATGTCCGGCTGAATCTTCTTAGCAGAACCCAAATCCCCAATCTGGACCACACCTTGCTTCACCAACAAGTTTTCCGGTTTGAGGTCACGGTGGCACCACCCATTCTTATGCATGTGATCTAGCCCAAGAAGAATTTGATGACACACATTCCTGATTTGTGCCTCATTGAATCTCTTCTTGTGCAGTTGCATAAATTGCAATAAGTTGCCCTCCATGAATTCAAAAACAAGGGAAGCAGTGCCATCAAATCCCATGAAAGCTTGTTTCAAATTGACAATATTCGGTGGTTCTTCAACTGAGACAGAGACTCAACTTCCGCCATTTGGAGAAACTCCTCCTATGAAGTCAACCTTGATACCTCATTCTTCAGTCGTTTAATTGCAACAATCTCACCAGTCACCTTGTGCGAAGCCTTCCATACAACCCCAAAACTTCCTTCACCGAGCGGCTTAAGGAACCAATAACTCTCCATTCAAACTATCTCAAGAAAACAACATAGACCCAACAAAACTCTCTCTGTTAATGGAAACTCAAGAGCTTTCGTCAAATATGGAAATTAACGTTTGCCTAGAAGCAAAACCTAATTGATTTCCTACCGGCATGCTCACTCACTCAAACCATACACAAGTTTAACACTATCTTAAAATTCGAGTCTCTTTGCACAAAAGTTTGAGTTTTTCTCCCAATAAATTAGATTAATGTGAGTAATTTAGACTTATGGATTTGGCTCCATCAAACTTGTATGTTAAAGACTGATTAAAAACTTCTAATCTTGGTCATTCATCGCCCATATTTAAAAGGAAAGTTTAACAATATATATTGTTAGCAAATAAAATAAATTTACAATTCATACTAAGAACTTAAAATATGGGACAACTTAAAATATTAACGTCCTTTTTCTTGTCGTTCCGTCAGAATGGTAGAAGATTGACTTGGGTATCTGATAACAGCCAAGCCAATCCAATAAAATCCAACAACCAACCATTTTATCTAAACCAATTTGAAGACCCAACAAAACCAACACAGTAGCTAGCAAGTGAGTGAAAAGAGTAGAAGAAAACACAAACCCAAGCTCCAAATTTCACCCATGGCTGCTTCAAATATAGTCAAGTATGGGATTGTAGGGGTGGGCATGATGGGCAGAGAGCACCTCATCAACTTGCACCATCTTCGCACCGAAGGCGTGGCGGTGGTAGCCATAGCTGACCCCCATGTTCCTTCCCAAAAGCTTGCTCTTGATTTGGCACAGTCTTTTAATTGGCCTATAAAGGTATGGGCTCTGCTGTAGTCTCTAACTGTTTGATATGGTGCCAATATGGTTCACCTCCAAAACCTTGTTGTAAATTGAACACAGTGATGCTTAGAAGATTATTGATAATCAAAGGGTTTATAGATTTCTTTTTTTTCTTGCTACTAATCAGACGGTTTTAAAAGGTTGAAATTCTAATGGGCAATGATTAGACTTCAATTCCCTAATTTGTTTTCCATGTTTGTGATTTATTTTATCAAGTGATATCTCAGAAATAAGGTTTATGACTTGAATGGTTTTAAAGGTTTTTTCAGCACACAAGGACCTATTGGACAGCCTGCTCTGTGATGTAGTGGTTGTGTCATCTCCAAATATGACCCATTATCAAATTCTGATGGATATCATCAACCACCCCAAACCCCACCATGTACTAGTGGAGAAGCCATTGTGTACAACAGTAGCTCACTGCAAAGAGGTCCGTCGATCAGAAGTACTGTTAATTCTACTTACATTTCATCTTTTTTAGATGTAATCCATTACATTACCTTTGATACATAAGGTTGAAATAGTGCCTTTGAACATAATCTCTCTCTAATGCACTACTTTAAGAAATTGAACTGATTCGAGTGATAGTTTTTTAGCCTTTATTTCTTGTTAACTG